GCTGAAGGCTCCATTATTTAATGGGTTTGGCCCAACTAGAAAAGTTGGGTCAGTGCCCACATTTTTCGAGCCTGCCCGTCACGAGAAAAGGCTCGTTAGGGAATTAGGGTTATGATCGATATAAATACCAGCGAGACGAGATTACTCTGTTCGCTTACAGTAACACCGCGCGTCTCATATGTTGTATCGGCGTCCGCTAATAGCATCGTGAACAGGGGAAGCCGGTGAGCAAACATGAGAGCTAAGGTTGGTGGTCCTTTACCAATTGTTTTCAATCCAGTCACTTTTAGTACTTCATTTCGTTCCATTTTTAGCTATATTTTTGTTGGAAATTACTAGTTACTCGATCCTCTTAAGTGCACTTTCACAACGAATTTCGCCTTTTCAAAAAAGAAAAAAAATTTGCAATGTTAACAATCGATTTCCTAGTGTTAGACAGTGTGTTTATCATCTTTCTGTTACCTTAATCCGTGATATTTTGATTTTACTTGTAATTTCGTAAGGCTGGTTTATGGTTTTGTAGTTTAATTGGCGAAGAACGTTCTTGCTCTAGTTGTACTGTAGCTGTTTCTTGGATTCGTTTCGCCAATCTCGTGTGCGAATTTACTAATGCTTGTCGTTCTACAATATCACGTTAGACAATGCATGCCATTTCCTATACTAAATTAAATATGGAGAACTTATTTAGATTTCTTTTTGCTAGACAAAAATATACAACATAACTAGAATTTTAATTGTGCCACATTACAGCCAAATTCTTTCAATTTATTTTTTCCCTATTGATTGCATGTAGCACGCTCTTATGTACTAATTTGGCAAACGTTCCGGTGTCAATCTTTGATAAAGATTTGTTTACTAGAAAAGAAGTAAAACAGAGAGCTAAAATTAAGAGCATGTTCGGCCTTGCTTCTTTTGCAGAAGCTGCCAAACATGCTCTAAACACCTTTGAAACTGGAAATAAGAGAAGATATAGCCTTAACAAGCTGGAAAATTGTTTATTGCAGATATGACTGGTTGTTTAGCTCGAAAACTTGTAAATATTTTTATGGGAACGGTAGGATAATGTTTCATTATGGGCAATGCTCGACCTCTTAGCTTTAGCATTCTGTAAATACTGTTGAACAATAATGATGGATTTGAGCGATAACTTTAAACCAAAAAATCAACTTACCAACCTTACCAAAAATTGGACAGAGTAACGGTAAAGATAAGTGTAAAACACTAAAGGAATAGAATTTCAAAGTAACACTAAAATCAAGATTTATGCAAAGTCAAGGCAAGAGTTGAACAACAATGTTTTTGTGTTAGTATCACTTCAAAACACAAGAACAACAAACCGAATATTGATTTTTGTACTCCTTCAAATGAAAATGGAAAACCAGTTTTTATGTAGAATTTTGATTAGGAAAAGATAAATTTAATGTTATGCTATGATTGCATATCATTGAGATGAACAAATGGATGCTCCAAGGATCTAATTTATAGAGAAGGAAAGATTGTGAGTAAAGTGTCGTTCTCCAAACTCAACAACCTTTGTCAAGGGTCGCAACTATTGTTGTCTATGATGCACCGACACGGACACGTGTGTCCAACAAGCGATTCTTAAAAAAAGTACAGACACGACACATAATCGGCACGTTGATTAAATTCTTAAAAATTCTTCATTTATATAGTATAAATTTAGTTTTATAGTTGTTATTAATTTTTCTTGTTAAAATTAGCCGTAAAAATTCTTTATTTATATAATATAAATTTAATTCTATCCTTGTTATTAATTTTTCTTGTTAAAATCTTTTAAACATGAGTACCTATTTGTTGCTTGCTAATAATTTTAAATTAACAATATATAATATTTTTAATATAAAATGAAAAATGATTTCGGTAGAGTGTGAGAAGTGTTGGTGTCGACTCGTGTCCGACACGGACACGCTACCCTAATTGTAGTGTCCGTACTACAGGGATTGTTGTCGTTAGAACATTACACTTGCGTTGCTCGAGCGCTAGAAATAGAAATCTTGTCGCCAGCCTGTCGCTCGAGCGATAAGCGAGCGACGTAGTTGAATAAATTTCTAGCCAGTTTCCTCTCCTTTTCTTCAAAATTAATTTCTCATTAAGCCAGATTTGGTTTGAAGATTTCAACTATATCAAGACAATCTACTCGACGAGTAGAACAAGTTAGTCTATTTATTTTCATAATTTGATTATTGGATCAAGTCCATTCATGTGGTCGAAATTGATACGAAAGTCACTTTTTCGTGTTTTAATAATTAACCAATTCCAACAAATACTAAGTCAAATTTTCATTCATTTTGTAGTGGAAGAAAAAGCGAATGAGGAGGTTGAAGAGGAAGCGCCGAAAGATGAGACAAAGATCCAAGTAAAGGAGGATGGTAATGGATGGTGAGATAGCTTCTTTTGCATGAATCAGTTTCTTCTTCATTGGCTGCCCAACGATTAAGAAGAGTGGAAGGAAGTTCTGCAGATGGTGCTGACTTTTTGTCTGTTCTATTCCTACTTTTGTTCTTGATTTTATTCGACTTTTTGTTGAAGTTTAGGTTGACTTGTGAGTTTTTACTGTCTACTTTTATGCTACGAATTAAAAGACTGTATGACATTTGTATTAAATCTGCTTATGAATGGATGCATGGTGTTTTCAGAAATCATTTGTGGTTTCTTTCATTCAATTCTCCTATTTAAGTCCAGTGAGTATGTACCACTCTCTTCATTCTTCTCTTCTGATAGGAATTTTTTACATGGAAGCCAGATAATTTATACAGGTTCTCCATTACTTAAATCCTTCGTCCTGAAAAACTATACTCTTGGTTGAAATCTTATAATATTTCTCGATAGAACTTTTCCAAGTGCACTATCTGATGGGGATTGAGTTGCAGGACAAATAAAAGATAAATTGCTTGTCTTCACCCCTCTTCATTGAATTGGAGTAGGCACCAACAAAGAATAGGTTGAATGAGCTTTCGTACAGTTTTTTAGTGAACTATTTCCTTTCCTGGGAAGCAAGAGCCGCTTGGTCACGGTACTGACTTATGTCATCTACTCTTGAAAATTCCCAAGTGAATACAGATCTGTTTTTCGTCCCTGGGTGGGGGGTTCGATAGCATGGCAACATAACAAAATGAGTAGTGAAAAGCTGTGAAACGGACAACTGACGAAACAGCACTTGCTGATTTTCTCACATTATGATATCAATGGTGATTATTTCCAAGTAGAACGTTAAACCAATCTGATTTTTTCAGCAGTTCTTGAAAATGAAGAAATATCTTTTACTATCATTGTGAAAAATGTCATCCCTTTCATTTTTTGACATTTTCATCATTATTTCCACCTTTAATTTGGCAAAAGGTCATTTTCATTCATTTTTTCAATTAAAAAAATATGAAATGACAAATATGTTCTTCTGTTTAAATAAAACTTGAAAAAAGAGAGAGAACTAATTTTAACTATAGTCCTAAATTTTTAAAAAATATGCAAATGAGTCCTAAATAAATTATTAGAAAGGTAATTAGTATATAACGTTCCCACCTTTCACTTTTATATTATGAAAAACATTCATACTTTTCATTATTTGGTATTTTGATCCTTAATTATATCTTTGATTACACAAACCATCATTTCTATCCATTTTCTCAATAAAAACTCTGAAATGATGAATATATTCCCATATTCAAACAAAATAAAAAAAAAATTAATTGTAATCATAGTCCCAAGTTTTTTTAAAAAAAGTGTAAACGAGTACCAAATAAATTATTAAAAATTAGAAATTAATTTTTTTTAAAAAAAAATTGCAAACGAGTTCCAAATAATTTATTATAAAAATTAGAAACAAAAAATAATAATTTTCTTTTTTTAAAAGAATAGGAGAATATATTCGTCATTTCACAGCTTTTATTGAGAAATTGAATGAAAAATGTTTAGAAATGATGGTTCGAGCAATCAAATGTATAATTAATGGTGGAAATACCAAAAAATGAAAGATATTGACATTTTTTACAATAATAGTGAAAGGTAGAAACGTTATCTATTAATTACCCTATTAATAATTTATTTGAAATTCGTTTGCACTTTAAAAAAAAAAAAAAATTGAGACTATAGTTGCAATTAGTTCTTTCTTTTTTTTGTTTTATTTAAATAGAATGGTATATTCGTTATTTCACGATTTTTAATTGAGAAAATTGATAAAAATGACATTTTACACAATGAAATGTGAAAATGTCAACAAATAAAATACAAGGTCATTTTTCACGATAACAATGAAAGATATGGACATTATATTGATAAAATTGATAAAAATGACATTTTACACAATGAAATGTGAAAATGTCTAAATACAATGTCATTTTTCTCAATAACAATGAAAGATATGGACATTACGTGGTAATTAACCAAGAAACAAGTCAAAACTCTCTTTATATTAACAAGGTGTTCCAAATCTATTCAATTCAAGAAGAATTAGTTAGAAGGATCACAAGGTACAATGGGGAAATTTACTAAAAACTTGATGTGTTCCAAATCTATTCAAATCAAGAAGAATTAGCTAAAAGGGTCACAAGGTACAATGGGGAACTTTACTAAAACTTGATGTAAGGTTATCTTGCAACCATCTGAATAACTAGAAACGATTTTGAAAGAGAATTTCGCCACATTTGCATTAAAAGAAAAAAAAAAAGTAATATTCAAATGGTTATTGTCGAACTCAATAAGGAATCTGTAATATATGGACTGAAATGAGTGTCAACAATGCAAATGATTTGAACAATAACATAACTGCCCCGGAAATGATAATAGAAAGAATCATAAGCTTGAACAATGAAAATCAAAGTGGCATAAATTCAAATTCATCCGTTGCTACCTTGTAAATGAAGATGTCAGCCTTCACAATCATTTGTACCCTAACCAGACCAATATCAATGTATAAATCTCTCCATCTAGTCAGCCGCATACTTACCAATATCATGAAGCTAAGGATAAATCCCGATTTGACTTCATAGATCGTATTGCATAGAGAGCCTTTCTACCGTATTTCGACTCATGACTTGTTTTAGATGCAACTCCTTTAAAACTACTGCTGCCAGTTCCTTTTCTTTTTCATGAAGGATCCCTTCTACTAAAATCGTATAAGTTGTCTCATTAGGCATATACCCCTTCTCGATCATCATCTCAAATACTTCCAGAGACAAGTCTGTTCTATGGCATTTGCATAAACCAAGCACAAGTGCATTGAAATTGTCAACATCAGGCTGATAGCCACTTTCTTCCATCACCCTAAATACATCCAATGCAGCACCTAACATTCTTTCCATGCACAACCCTCTAATCAAGGACGAATATGTGTATGAGTCGGGAGTAAATCCAGATTCTGTAATTTCATACAAAAGCTGAAATGCTGGATAAGTGTTGCCTTTCCTACATAAACTTGAGATGACATTTCTGTAGAAATCATGAATAGAGGACTCCTGTTTATTTCTCAAACTTTGGATAATTGAAAAGGCCTTTTGCACCATTCCCTCCTCGCACAGCACAGCAACAGCGTTATATGTTCCCTCATTAGGGCTACAGTGTCGATAAATCATTTGGTCGATACACTTAACCACATCATCTACCTTTCTCTGCTTGCAAAGACTCGCAAGAATCGGGTTATAGCTAGCAGCAGTGAGTTTAAATTGTCCATCTTTGTATAGCCCATCCAATACCTCAAGTGCTTGATCTGTTCGCCCATGAAGCGCAAGAGAATCGATCAATATATTATATGTGACTATAGAAGGCTCGCGTTCCTCGCCAACCATCTCCGCAAGAAGGTCATTTGCCTCCTCCCAACGCCCTTCGTTGCACAAGTTCCTCAACAATATATTGTAGCTGACAACATTAGGATTAAATCCCTTTAATGGCAAATCTCTGAAAAGTTGTATTGCCTCGTTAATTCTACCTTCCTTGCACAATCCAGTCAATATAACATTGTAACTAACCAAATTAGGATTTCCACCCTTACCAATTATGTCATCCAGCAACCTCCTTGCTTCATCAACCCCTCTTTCCTTATAAGCAGCCTCGAGCAAGATCGAATAAGTAAATGCATTTGGGACCAGCCCCCTTTGCATCAATCTCTCTACAAATTGCAGGTTCTGAGTCAAGTTCCCACGCATACATAGCCCTCTAACAAGAGAATTATAAGTCATGGTATTAGTTGGGTACCCACATTCCTCCATTTTTTCAACTAATTGCATCGCATGGCCTACATTTCCTCTTTTACACAATTGATTCACCAAGAAAGTGTAGGAAGCCGCATCTGGAATAGTACCCGACCTGACCATCATCTCCATAACTCTAGTAGCTTTCCTAAGCTTATTCGACTTGCAAAGATCATACAATAACTGAGTGGCATTGGCTACATCAGGCTTATGGCCCTTCCCTATCATGTACTCCAAATACAGAAATGCATCATTTAGCTTAATATCCCTGGTTCTTAGGTCATTCCTACCAGACCTCCAGTTGGGTAATGTGAAAACACTGTTCATTGGAGCACTAGCCAGGTGGGTTGAGGACCAAACTTTAGGAAAACCATTACTGAAGGGTAAAGATTGGAATTTTGGTATATGGGAAAGGAATCCATGGGGTTTTCTTGCATGTTCAGATGATGATTTTGTTATTGGAGAGACTGTGTGTAAGAGACTTGCCATGAATTCAAGATTTCCTAAATCTGGAGTATCATAAGAACAAAATTACGAAAATCAAGATTCTGGGGTTAATTCTGAAACTAATTGATAACTGGATCGATAATCAGATAAGGTAAAGTGAAAAAGATTGATTTTTCTACACTAGCAAAAGATTGTAAATACCCAAGTGTAATGGTTTAACATAATTTAGCATGAACAATACTGACTCATCTTGCACCCTTTAATTTCTCTTCAGCTTCTTGTGTTCTGTATTTTTATGAACTCCAATTGCATACTGAAAAATTTTCTGCGAGTATATATCCAAAATTGTTGCTTCTTCCTATTCGAAACTTAGGCTCCTCTTCTTCCGTCCAGTCCTGTCCACATCTCTTCATTTTATCCACAAGTCAAGGAATAGCGATTCTGGCCTGCAACCTTTGGGGTGCGTTTTCATAATGCGCTTTCACTTTTGACCGGCATCTAACATAACGACTCTTTTCAGTTCCATTTTTTTTTTTTTTTAAATAGAATGTGAAATTTTTTTTTTTCTTTTAATTTCACAAAATGAACTGAAATTGAGTTAAAATGACACGCACTTGGATCCGAAAACTATTTGTTATCACCTAAGATCGGAGAATGGATTAAAAACTAATGTTTGAATTAAGATATAAAATAAGTAAAAATAGATTTGGCTTTTCTACATATGCATAAAATTATTTTCATCAAGGAGGAATCCTAAAATTCTACCCGTTTTACTAGTTTCGAAATATGAATTCTTAAATACGTGAATCTTATGATACGGAATGAATATTTATAATAATTATAACTTCTTTATTTTAACCAATTGAATGCAGCCACATAGACAATGTTAACAATGCTGAGGCAAAAAAAAAAAAAAAACATTACTCTTTGTTGCATGTCAAGTAGATATTTAGTGCGTATAATTTATTAAACCGTGTTGTATGTACAGAGATTCTACTTCTATAAACAACACACAACGAAAGGGCGGGAAAAAACTTGAACTATTTTTTAATCAGGTCGGTCCAACGTGGGACCCACCTCATGAGAGAGGTCGGTAAAATCTCTGTGAACGTCATTTTTGTACACTTGGATTAATTCTTGTTAGGAATATTTGGCCTAACTCCACCTAATAAAACCGACTTATTAGGGGAGGATTGCCCTCACCTTATTAAGTAGATCATTTATATTTTCCCAAATAATGTGAGATTCTAATAGCCCCTCACGCACAGCGTGGACCATGCCAAACAACTATGAACAAATCGATATTGGGTGGCACCCAACATTGCATAATTGGGCATATCTCTGATACCATGTTAGGAATATTGGGCCTAACTCCACCTAATAAAATCGGCTTATTAGAGGATGATTGTCCTCACCTTATTAAGTAGATCATTTATATTTTCTCAAACAATGTGGGATTCTAATAATTCTAATTTATTTGATGTGGAGAAATAAGATTCAAAGTTCAACCAAATTCTCTCTATTCGAACTAATCCGTCTGGTCCGACCCCACTCCATTGCCACCATTCCTATATTAGAAGATTTTTTGTAAAGCAAATAAAATTTGAAGAGAGAATTAATAAATTACTCCAATGAATTGAATTTGGGTTATTTAACATTAGAGGTATTAGCATCAAAGCTAAGTGATATAAGTGACATTAATTGTCAATTAAACATAAGGATAATAATTAAACCTATCCGTTAATTCCTAGACGGGTATTGAACACCACTGATATTAAATAGTTTAATCTCCAATGAGTAATGAAAAATAGCAGTGGCGACAACGTATTTGTCATTAATTAACACGTTCAATTAAAGGTATTGGTACTAGCTAGATAGTTTATTCTCACGTAAATGATGCCCTTTAGACATTAGGCTACAAATTCTTTTAAAGAGTGTTGTTATTCATCTAGACCGTTGGCTAAGTGATTGAATCTTTTAATTGGATCTTAAATTCCAATAGGTTAAATCCATTTAAACCCTTGTTTGAACCTCATTACATAAAATAATAGTATTATCTAACATCAATGGTGATAGATCATCAGTTTAGATGTCTACACTTTATAGACTCAGTTAAATAAGTCATATAATTTTGCATTTAAATAAATTTATCATTTATATTATGTAATTACCACTTAACCAATGTTTAACATCAATAGTAATGAATATCATTACTCTAAATAAAAAATTATTTTTTTTAAAATTAATTTTCAATCGCACATTCTTTCAATAAAATATTTTTACACTTAAATATAAAAAAAAATCACTTTTCAATCGTACATTATTCAAAAATTATTATTATAAAATTTATTCATTCAAAAAAGGGCTCAAACACTCCCTAATTCACACAAAAGGTTGATAATCAACTGTATGGACGAGTAGCATTACAATCATGCTTGGTGTACATTTCATTTTGAGTCATGCTAATTGTACAAACTCGGTTGACAACCACTCACATGGAGAGGTCCACTTTTTTTTTTTTTTTTTGAATTTTTTAAACATACGGGCCCCACACACATGTGAGAGGTTGTCAACCAAGGACAACCGAAATTGTCAACCTCGATTGTACAAATAGAATTTTCTTTTCATTGTACACTTTAGTAGACACAATGCTACATGGCATTCTTTCATTGGATAATTTAAACAAAAAAGGGTTTTTGTTGCCAATGATTTTTGACATTACTACATGTGTCAACAAGGGTGACAAATGGCGTAATCTTTTTATTTAAAACACCATCTATAATACACTATTGACACTTGTCGATCTCATGGCAATGAAACTGCCACGTCTCATTTCCTACTGTGACACTTGTCAGTCTGATGGCAATGAAACTGCCACGCACTCACCTACATAAACGAACTATAAATATCAAGAATCTAAAAAATGGACAACCAAAGCTCGAGGTAATCAAAATGGCAAAGAGTAAAGATGATATCAAGTATGCAACAGCACAGGCAAAGCTATCAGAAGATGAAGCTCTGAGAGTAAGCTACAAGGCCAGCACCCCACTTGAAGGTGGAAAAATTGCTGACTCTGAACCCGTTGATCTTTTCTCCAGTGCTTGCCATATCGCTAAGCAACAAGCACAAGAACGAGGGAAGATTGCCGACTCCGAACCAGTTGATCTTTTCTCCGGCGCCCGCAATATAGAAAAACCGGAGACTGACCGTCAAAGCGCTGGTGATCAACCACAGTTGCAGCGTTGATCCATTGGTCGCTTTCTATCTGTATGTTTCCTTCTTGTTTGCTACTATTAGAGCTAATGAATGCTGAGTGTTGTGTAAACGGAAAGGTTGTCCTAATTTTGAATAGGTGAAATGTTCTTAATAATAAATTAACTAATTAAAATTAAAAAAAAAAAAAAAGTTGCAAATTGCAAGTACTTTATAGAATTCTATAAATCTATAAATCTATATGTACGTAATTATTGTACATAATGGATTACATGGCCCATGTGGAAGAAATCCGACTGTGAATATGAAGTGTGGAAAAGTAAAAAATTGTAGGCTATCGATGGATATGCGCCACATGTCAATTATGCAATATATTATGTAAATGATTATGTACTTGTAGCATGATCCTTAACAATCATGAAAATGAATGATTTAACTGTTCACACAGTTTTATATAAACATATTTGCACACAAAGGCAATTTTAATTGTATTAAAGTTTTTTTCGATTTGTATTCTTTGTTGTATTTATATTCCTAATTTTTAATTTTATTTTAAATTCTTTTTTAAGTCAGGTTCAAAAATGATTTTAAGACATGTGAAGTTCAAATCTCGAACAACATACGGCATTTTTTCAAGGTTAAATCTCAAATAGCATACATAATAAGGTATTTTTTTCAATTTTTAATACTATTTTAAATATTGTAGATTAATAAAGGGTTATTAGCGCAAAACGTCCCTACCTATGACGGGTTGTGTGGAAAACGTCCATACGTTTGATTTTTTGGTGCAGAACGTCCCTACCTATGCATTTTATTGCGCAAAACGTCATTTTCCCTAATTTTTAACATAAAATGACCGATATACCCTCCAATTTAAATAAAACAAAGAGGAAAAGAAAAGAAAAATAAAGAATAAATTGCAATTTGCTCTTAAACTTTTTTAAAATGCAAATCAATCCAAAACTTATGAAAATATTAAAAATAACCCTTTACACTTGGCATAACACTTGGGAGATAAGATTGGAGGTCAATTGCTCATTATCTTCCTCGATTGACATGTTACCCATGATCCTGTGATCCCCAATTGCGGTTTTGTGAATTGAATTAGCACCAATAACTTCAACAACAACATCAATTGCAGCCTCAAAACCTTCATCATGCATAGCCCCATTTGGGGGAATCAATTCGGAGATCAATTGTCCATCATTTTTCTCAATTGACAAGTTACCCATAGTCATTTGGCTTCCAATTGAATGATTGTGGGTCGAATTTACTGGGACAGCTACAACAAAATCACGAAGTAAAACAGCAGCCCGTTCTCCCACAAAATCAGCAGCTTCTGGGCGAGAAAGACCAAGACCCATACCTGGGCTAGGTGCGCCAGGTGAAGAGGGACCTAGCCCAGGAGGTCCCTGGCCGTCGGTGGTCCTGCGTCGCCGGAATTGGCGTTGTTCAGTGGCTGTGTTGCGAGGCTCGCCACTGGCGAAATTTCAAGATCGAAGTTGATGTTTTCTGGTGATGTTTGTAATGATTTGTTGGCATGATTGTGGTTACCTGGTGATGGGCAGTTGAAAGGAGGTGGGTTTCTGCCATGGGATTGGCCGGAAGTGCAATTTCCGGCAATTTTCAGATTGGGTGACAATGAACTTTGAGCGTTGATTCCAACCACTGTAGTTGATGGAATTGAGCGCGGTTGGGTGGTATTTGAAGGGGAGATGGATGGCTGTTGACCGGTGTCAAGATCCGGCGGGATAGGTGGCCGGAGGCTGCCTGATTTTGGACGCATTTGGGGGTGAAAAAAAGGCAAAGAATCGCCATATTTTGGACGCATTTGTTATGGCAAGTGTAAAGGGTTTAATATTTTCATAAGTTTTGGATTGATTTGCATTTTAAAAAAGTTTAAGAGGAAATTGCAATTTATTCTTTATTTTTCTTTTCTTTTTCTCTTTGTTTTATTTAAATTAGAGGGTATATGGGTCATTTTATGTTAAAAATTAGGGAAAAGGACGTTTTGCACAA